GAGTAAGTCTATGTATTTACATATTGGTTTAAAGAGCCACAAGATTGGATAAGATTCCCAAGAAGGTCGAGCACAGTGGTTCACCCCTGTAATCCCACCAACTGTGAGTTGAGGTTTGGGGTTGAACCAGCCTGGATATAATGGCAAATACCCCATCTCTGCCAAAAATACAAAATTAAGTGGGTATCGGTGGCCAGGTGCCTATAATCCCTAGCTACTTGGGAGGCTGAGGGCAGGAGATCGCTTGAACCCGCGGGGTAGAGGTTCAGTGAGCCAAGATTGCCCACTTCACTCCAGTCTGGGGGAGAAAGCAAAACTCCATCTCCAAAACATCCTCTCTTCTGTGAAGGCCTCTCTTTGTGCACTGCCCTCCTACTCCATCCCCGGTCCCAGTACCCTGCAGAGTAAAATGTTTCTATCTGTATCTCCTCAGCTTCGTGTCCATACGTAGATATTCTATACAGTCTCAAACATAACTATGTACCTCCAACACCTTCCTTGAATTCCAGACTGCTTACTTGACATCTACACTCAGATATCTGTCTAGGAAATCTCTCAAATTTAATATTCAAAACCAAATGGCATGCCATAGATTTTTGTTGTTCTCGTTGTTGTTGTTGAGACGGAGTTTCACTCTTGTTGCCCAGGCTATAGTGCAATGGTGTGATCTTGGCTCACTGCACCCTCTCCCTCCGGGTTCAAGTGATTCTCCTGCCTCAGCCTCCCGAGTAGCTGGGATTACAGGCATTTGCCACCACACCCAGCTAATTTTGTATTTTTAGTAGAGATGGGGTTTCTCCATGTTGGTCAGGCTGATCTTGAACTCCTGACCTCAGGTGATCCACATGACTTGGCTTCCCAGAGTGCTGGGATTACAGGTGTCAGCCACAGTTTTCAATTAAAAACTGCTCCTTCCTGAAATTCCCTATCTCAGCAAATAGCACCACCATGTCCCTGCTGTTGGGGCTACACACTATGGAGCAACATCTATGCCTCTCTTTCTATCCCATCTGCAAATGTTGTCAACTCAGCCTTCAATATATGGTACCAAGCCCAACCCATCTTCCCCTCTCCACCATCCCCACCTTAGCCCAAACCATCATCACCATCTCTTTGCTTCCACAATTGCCTCTCTGTAGTCTCTTTCCTACATAGCCAGAGTGACCCATTTAAACATAAATCAGATTGTTACCTCTGCTCATTACCTCTCTGCTCGAAGTCTTCCAATGGTTTCCACCCTTCTCAGACAAATCCTTGCCATGAATTACAAGGCTGTACGTCTGGACAGGTTCCAGAGTTTTCCTTGGACTTTGGAAACGTTATCTTAGAGCTGTCTCATTGTGCTGGGTGCAAAGTTTTTGTTTTAAAGAGAGAGTTAAAACATATTTTATCAAAGAAACGTCTCTGAAGGCATGTAATATGTTTGAAATATTTATCTCATCATTAAAGCTTTAGTAAAATGAAAAATCTACCAGCCATGTTCTCTATACTTGGGAATTTCCAGACTTCAACCCCTGGAAGCAATGATTAAAGTTTTTGTTTCCTTCAATGCTCAAGTCAAACATCCTCTCTTCTGTGAAGGCCTCTCTTTGTGCACTGCCCTCCTACTCCATCCCCGGTCCCAGTACCCTGCAGAGTAAAATGTTTCTATCTGTGTCTCCTCAGCTTCGTGTCCATACGTAGATATTGAAAGGAAACCTGTGGAACTTGTGTCTGCTTTGTATTACTACTGTGGAAGGGACAATAAATGTATTAACCCATATTTTTAAAATGTGCATACATATTGTATTTAACCTAAGACTAATTTTTTTCATATTTTAAAGACTGGAATTGAGCTATGTCTTTCAATCTACATGTTTAGAAAGCTTAGCTTATCAGTGTTTTTTTTTCTTTCTTGGTAGTACATAAAACAATGGTACCTTAAAATTGATGCTATCTTACATTTTATTAAATATGGAATATAAATCTTGTGTCTATGCTCCTCATTCTTTATAGCAAAAGTTTAATACATGACATCACTCCATATGATGGTTGATTATTTTTGCCACTCTTGGGGCTCAAACAATAATACCCCAAAATATGATGTTTTGGCATGCTGAGTCTTCGGTGTTTGTTTGTTTGTTTTGAGATGGAGTCTCACTCTGTCGTACAGGCTGGAATGCAATGACATGATCTAGGCTCGCTGCAACCTCCACCTCCTGGATTCCAGAAATTCTTATGCTTCAGCCTTACAAGTAGCTGGGATTACAGGCACCTGCAACCACGCCCGGCTAATTTTTGTATTTTTAGTAGAGACGGGTTTCGCCATATTGACCAGGCTGGTCCTGCACTCCTAACTTCAAGTGGTCCACAACCTTGGCCTCCCAAAGTACTGGGATTACAGGCATGAGGCACCACGCCCAGTGGCATGTTGAGTCTTTGAATTAAAGGAAATTAAAAGGGTCTCAGAAGGAAGCCTAAAAATCAAGGCCTCTCTCTCTCACCTTCCCCCTTCCTTTTGTCTCTCTGATACTCTTACTTTTTCCAAGCACCTGAAGGGGCTGTCTTTTCCCGCACAGTCAGATAAGGAATTTCCTTATCTGACAGAGAAAACTTCTTTTCCAAAGAAATGCAATTGTCTTAAAACCCCTTCCCTAGGAATCGCATTAAATAATCAGAAGACATTAATCACCCAGAGAAGAGAAAAAAAAACTGAAAGTCATAGCCACACTCAGACTTTTCATCCATACTTCTGAGGGTAGCTCCAAGAGACTACCTGGGAGACTTTACGTATATAATAGGACAATTTTTGTTCAGAGTGAAGTTTCACAGCTTGTCCACAAGCTATTGTTTGTACTTCTGTCCCACTGAATGTCCAAGGAGAATCATTTGCAAACCACTGTCTGGCTTTCGGGCCCCTTCATACCTATCTCCCTCTACTCAACAAAGAAGGGTATACAAGCATCTGGACCTTATTGAGTTATTGAGAAATCAGTCTTCTGTGATTTTTCCCTATGCACGTTAAGCACATTTTGTATGCCTTTTTCTCCTACTAATCTGTTCATTCCAGCAACCTTCAGAGGGCAAAAGTGGGAGCTTTCCCTCTTGCTCCCTACACCACGTTAAATTTAAATGTAAATTAAATGATTTGGGAATGGGTAACGTACTCATTTCCAAACTGCAATTTTCATAGGTATGAAAATTCTCCACAAACTGCAAAGCCATGACACTCCAAGTGCCCAAGAACCTAGGTTGGCGAGCTCAGTTAGTGCAAGTAAACGTGCTCCACCCATCTCCCAGCCCGCCTGCTCCCTCACTTTGGTACAGGTACAGGTACAGGTACAAATACAGGTACAGGTACCGGTAGGAACGCAAACGTCTATTGGCCACGGACTTAAGAGGCACGCCCACAGGTACCTTCCGAGCATGCGTGGGGAAGTAGCACGCAGGCGCGGCACGCCCCGCGCATGCCTGATGCAAAGCGTCCGCAGGTCGGGCGGTAGCGTCGGGCGAGTGCTGCGGCTGGAGCAGCCACCGTCCGGCATGAAGGATTGGGTTCTGGGTGCTGCCTGCTCCTCGCTCCAGCACCATGGAATGCCTGCGCAGTTTGCCCTGCCTCCTGCCCCGCGCGATGAGACTTCCCCGGCGGACGCTGTGTGCCCTGGCCTTGGACTTGACCTCTGTGGCGCGTCCCGTTGCTGCCTGCGGCCGCGCAGCCAACTTGGTTGGAAGGAGCCGGGCGGCGCAACTTTGCGGGCCGGGCCGGCTCCGCGTGGCAGGTACAGCCCTTACCCGGCCACAGCTTCGGACGGTGGTCTTGCAGTGACCTTAGGCTGCTGCCCCAGCCACCCGGCGCGGCGCGCCTGTTGCTCCGCGCCCTGCGCAGACCTTGGCCTCCCGTGTGTCCTGTGAGCTTGCACAGGCCCGCGGGCCGAGCTGCGCCCGACTCGCTCAGAATGCGACCTTGCTATGTGCGCTGTGCCCTGCCGGGGTCCGAGCGGCCAACCCTCTGCCTTCTCCCCCACCGCCCTTGCTGCAGATTATATAACCATAGGAACAACCTAGGAATCGTTTACAGACCGTGATCACGTTAGTTAACACCCGCTTAAGTGCTCTTGTGAGAGGTTTTCTTGTGTGTTGTTTTTGAGACAGGGTCTTACTATGTTACCCAGGCTGGACTCAAACTCCTTGCCTCAAGCCTAACGCAGTAGCCTCGCAAAGCGCTGGGATTACAGGCATGAGCCACCACACCTGGCCGAGAGGTGTTTTTAAACAAGGCTTTCATCTGTTCCGAAGTCATAAGTATTAATATTAATTTATCTTCCCTTTCTTCCTTATGGACACATTTATACAGTTGTCCAGTTGCACAGAGATTGGGGACGCACATGGAAGTGAGGCTGAAGACTGAGTTGCTTCTGAGAACGGCTTGACTTTATTTTCAACTACAGTACTGTATAAGTAAACAGGGAGATCGGATTGAGAAAAAAAAAAAAGAATCTTATTTGCTGTTTATTTTTACACCAAATGTTGAAGCATGGTGAAAAGTTAAGATTTTCACAAATGTGAGTGCAAATATTTGAGGAATAAAAGGTATTGAAATGAATGACTTTATCAAGAATATAGCAGTGTCCTCAAATATGTTTTCTCAGTTGTGCTCTCAAAAGCCTCCCAAAGTAACTCCTCGTCATCACCTCATCCACTTATTGGAGAGTCTTTCTGAGTTGGGTTACATGCTCTGCACCCTCCATTGATAATGCTTGGGAATCCCGTTTCAGCAAGTTGGAGGAAACTTTGAGGACAAGCATTGACGTTCAGAATCTCAATCCCGGTTACACTCTATCTAATTTGTGACATTAAAACATTGAAAGCCGTTTGTAATCAGCAAATGACGTTTACCTTTATTCATCTTACCCTTATAGTGATAATTTGTATTTTGTAAAAGGGAAATGAAACTTCAGATATTAACAAATTACAAGAATCATTACATGTATGTAGTGGAAAAAAGATCAGAAGTAGGATTTTTTTCTACAGTCTCTGGAGTCAGTGTAATTACTTTGGAAGCATAAAACAGTGTCCTCTGTCAGTCATTAAATGTACTTGATTATACTTCAGCGTTCACTTCGACTCAGTCTAGTCACATATTTTAAATAGACTAATTTTCAAATAAAGATTTGTCCTCCTTCCAGCTCAGTGGGGGTGTTTCATAAGTATTCACTATAAAGAATATCTGTAGAAAAGAAGTAAAATCAATAGGTTTCATAGTTTATGAGCCAGTCAAATAATTCTGATACTGGAATGCTTGAAAGATCAGGTGGCACTTAGGACCTATGTTTTCTAAAATGTATCTACTACCAAATGCACATGAAGAGCCTTTTATGCAAAAAGGAAGACCAGACATTTTCTTAAATCTCAGAACACGATGTTGCACATTCGTTCATCCAACTTTGAGATATCAGTAATAATTAGAAAGGTAAAAGGGTGACTGGAATCCATCAGTTATTTTAATGCCTCACCTAAGCCATTACTTTTGAAAATCATTCCCTGCCAAACCTAATATAATCACCAACAAATATTAAAATTAACAAGAGTATTTCTTCTTAAAATATTTGAAAATAATAAAATAGTCTGAAGGCCTCCACATACTATGAGAGTTGTATTTGAGCTCTATGTGAATCATATAACCACAGGAATTCTCTTATTCTTCAGGTGAAGTGCACCGGTTAAGAACTTCTGATGTCTCTCAAGCCACTTTAGCCAGTGTAGCCCCGGTATTTACTGTGGTGAGTATGTACAATACATTGGAAATTGTACAGAAAGTGCTTCCCATACTTATTAACTCATTGAACTGTTGGCCAAGATACTACTTATTTTGAGTTTTATAATCGCTATAGTTACATGTCGTGGCTGTTGTGCCTGGCCAGTGACCTGAGTGCCTGCTAGATTTGCTTAACAATTATCTTGAACTTTGCTAATGACTGCACCTCCCCTTTTAATACTAGAACAAATCAATCACAATTCAGAGCCATAAAGAGGCTTAAACCTGTGTTCTGCAAGATAATACGCAGGCAGAAGCATCTTGAAGGCAGCAGAGTGTAGTATTTAAAAGTGCATGCTTTGAAAGGTCATGATCTCTGTAACTTTTCTCTGAAATGGTTGGGGAGTAGGGGTGAGGGGGGGAAATGAATGAATAAGATAATATATCACACACACATATTTTTAGAGAAAGAGAAAGAAGGCCGTTGGGGCAAAATTTTAACAAAGGTGACTAGGTGAAAGCTCTATGGGAATTGGTTGTAATATTCTTGCAACTTCTTTGTAGGCTTTTTTTTTTTTCAAAAAAAAAAAAAACAGCTTGATAAAAACTTGTGCCGGCTGGGCACAGTGGCTCACGCCTGTAATCCCAGCACTTTGGGAGGCCGCGGCGGGCGGATCACGAGGTCAGGAGACCATCCTGGCTAACACGGGGGTTTCACCCCGTCTCTACTAAAAATACAAACCGGTCGTGGTGGCGGGCGCCTGTAGTTCCAGCTACTCGGGAGGCTGAGATAGGAGAATGGCGTGAACCCGGGAGGTGGAGCTTGCAGTGAGCCTAGATCACGCCACTGCACTCTAGCCTGGGCAACAGAGTGAGACTCCGTCTCAAAAAAAAAAAAAAAAAGGCGTGCCTATCTGAGCCAGACTTCCTAAATTCCAGTCTCACTCTGCCTCTTATTGACTAGGTGGCCTTGGACAAGTTAGGATAACATCGTTGTGCCTTAGTTTTCTCATCTGAAAACTGAGCATAACCTACCATAAAGAATTGTTATGAGGATTAAATTAACTCATATATCGAAAGCCCTTAAACTAGTGCCTCACATATAGTAAGCCCCAAATATATTTCATTAGGATTATTTAGGCTTGTTAACATAAGAGCTTTTCTTTATAAACTATACAGAACGAAATAACCCCTAGAATTGCGTTTAAAAGTTATCACTGTTATTCATTGTTCTGGAAGAGTTGGCCAATTTAGTTAAGAATACAAAATCAGGACCAGGTGAGGTGGCTCAGAGAATACAAAAAGAATACAAAATCAGGGCCAGGCGAGGTGGATTACAGGTGGCCTGTAATCCCAGCACTCTGGGAGGCTGAGGCAGACATTTGAGGTCAGGAGTTTGAGACCAGCCTGACCAACATGCTGAAACCCCATCTCTACTATAAAACAAAAAAATTAGCCAGGTGTGGTGGTGCATTGCCTGTAGTCCCAGTTACTCAGGAGGCTGAGGCAGGAGAATCACTTGAACCTGGGAGGTGGAGGTTGCAGTGAGCCAAGATTGCACCACTGTACTCCAGCCTGGGCAACAGAGCAAGACTCTGTCTCAAAAAAAAAAAAGAAAAAGAATGCAAAGTCAAATGTCAAATATTGAAAGTTAGTTCTTTGCAGGTTAAATAATTTCAAAGAACACAAATTCATAAAGCTATGGAATCTGAGAAAGAAAAAGAAATTTAATTTGTGCTGTTTGAAATAGTTTAGAAAGTGAGCTAGTTACAAAGTAAATATTTTTTTCATTATAATTTGTATGATTTAAAAAAATTTTTTTAAGTTCTATTAAAGAAAAAAAGCATACATATAAATATTGAGATGCAAAAATATTCCACATATGTTGCTACTTTGGAAGGAGGGAGACTGCAAAGCAGTAGGTATAACATTAGTATGTTTTATTAGGAAAATGTTTGGAAGGATATTCAGTGAAATAATTATCACAGCTTTCTCTAAAACTTGTCATTTCAGGTGATTAATATAGTTTTATTTTACATATATTTATTTTCAAATTTTCTGCAGTGAGTTTATGTATTTGTGAAATATAAGGATGAAAGCTAGACTATTACACAAATATAAAGCTTTCTTTGATATAAATTTTCCTTTAATTAGTGTTCTGTGGAACTTATATATTCATATTAATTTTATCTTTGCTGATGAGAAGCAAGATGAAATATATATATTGTGAGTTTTTATTTTGTGATTAACACAGCATGTATATTTCCATGGTAATAACCCAAGACCTATATTGTACTTATTACATTAGAGTGTCTTTCTGAAATGTGTCTGTCATAGTAAGTAGTACAGCTCAGCACATAGTGATTCATTAAATGTTTCACATCTTCAAACTTGACTGTGGATAAACATCACTGAAAAATACTCCCCTACTTTACAGGAAATAGGTGCATTTTCTGTATCAAATCCTCTCTTCAAACTATCAGAAGAGGTTCTGTAAATCTTTATTGATTCTGCAACACCCACCAAAGAGACTTTAGCTTCATGTAAACATTTAGATTCACAAGGCAGGCCATACTTGGTCCCAGTCTACTCAGAAGGATAAGGGATAAGAGAAACAAGAAGGTAGTGTTAGGCGTTTCTTCTTCAAAAGAAGTCTTTGCAGCCATCCAGGGGTTTCTCTGGTCCTCTGAGTGATCGCTCAGTGACAAGGAGATAAGATTCTCAGAGGTGGATGTGAGATTCACCTTGGCTCGAATCCCTATGCCCCATAGTGACAGTATCCCTTGTCACAGAGGCACAGTGTCCAGGATTCTGGTGGGGAACATGGCCACAAGAGCCACCACAGTCAGGAAAGGGCAAAGAGAGCTATTGCTTTTCACCTGCTAACTGTAATTTGTTCATCTTCCCAGTCCAGTGCAGTCTACCAGTCAATGGCCATTTTTATCATAAGGATTGTTACCTAGTAACAACACAACTGATACTCCTTTATCAAAATTTCTAGAGGAACCAAGATAGAAAGTTAAACCCAGGTCTGATTTTTCCTAGCAAAGGAAAAAAGGAATTTTTAAAAACCCTTAACTCATAACTGGATTTAATCTAAAGAAGGTCAGTAATGGTTTATATTTGCATTTCAACATTTTGGGGATATTACTCACAATACCATAAATTCTTAATTAAATTAACAATACCGTAAGTAGCATTCTAATTTGAAAGAAAATAATAATTTGTTTTATTCTCTATTTTCAGACAAAATTTGACAAACAGGGAAATGTTACTTCTTTTGGTGAGTATGTGATTAGCATTTTAAATCATTTTTTTAAACGATGAGTGAATCTGATAGAAATCAAATTGTAGTATTTTGAGTAGAATATTCTCTGTATATACAGGTGTGTTGAAAGAGATCTTTCTTCAGCATTTGTCTGTCAGTCTTAATTGGAGCTGGCAGTACTCAGACTGTGTGTATTCTTCCAGAATTGTTTTCTTCTAGCAGGAGCCACTTTTCGCTCTAACAGGCTGTTGAAGGAATATTTGGGAGAGAGAGGCTAGTGTAGAGCTGGAGCCCAGAGACACACTCTTTCTCTTTTGTCTCTCTTTAAGTTAGTGTCCCTTTCACTGCCCTCATTCATTCCCCTGAAGCATGTTTAAGGCAGAGTCACATAATACCACTGACATGCAGTGGGTGACCAAAGGTGGACAGGGACGTGTCACTGCATGGCAGTCACATGGAATTCTGCTGATGGCTGTCTGTGGACAGCTACTTTAAAAAGTGAGACTAGGCATTATTTTACTATGTGACTTCAGATGTGAGTTTCAGATCTACCCTGAGAATGAATCAGTCTCAGGTAATAAATTCAGTTCTTCCCCTTTTTAGTCTTAGTCCAAGAACAAAGAAAATCAAGCTTATCTGTTCACATATATAAAATACTGAAGATGATGTTGTAGTAAAAATAGAAAATGTAGTTGTGTACAGTTTATATTTAAGAAAGATAACCTGTCTTTAGAGCTGGAAATTTATAGGTTCTAATGATGCATAGTTGTGGTTTCTATGTTAGTCTCAAGGGACTTCTAAGTAGTGAGAAATTTATGAGGTATAGATAAGAAAATCATTAGTTTGACTGTATTTAGCCCAAGTATGTTTTCTAGGTAAAACTGGATATTAAAAAGACTTAATTTTAGTTTTTGTTTCTGGTAGTAACCAAAAATTATCTTGATGGTGGTGGGAGGACTGCTCTGATGGAAAAATCTAAGCCATTTAATGTATTTGGTTTAGTCCTCTCTGTTTATTTCTTTTATAGAAAAGAAGAAAACTGAATTATACCAAGAGTTAGGTCTTCAAGCCAGAGATTTGAGATTTCAGCATGTAATGAGTATCACAGTCAGAAACAATAGGATTATCATAAGAATGGAGGTAAAATATTTTATTTCATCTGTTTTTCTCAATAATCTTATAAAAGTACCTTCCTATTTTTTTTTTTTTTTTTGAGACAGTCTTACTCTGTCCACTTAGGCTGAGTGCAGTGGCGCACACGATCTCCGCTCACTGCAGCTCCACTCCCCGGGTTTACGCCATTCTCCCTGCCTCAGCCTCCTGAGTAGCTGGGGCTACACAGCGCCCGCCACTTGCCCTGGGACTAATTTTTTGTATTTTTAGTAGAGACGGGGTTTCACCTTGTTCGCCAGGATGATCTCGATCTCCTGACCTCGTGATCCGCCCGCCTTGGCCTCCCAGAGTGCTGGGATTATAGGTGTGAACCACCGCGCCAGGCCTACCTTCTGACTATCTTGATCAGTATCTAGGTTAAAAGTAATTTTGGAATAAAAGTAGCTACATGAAACATAGGATATTTTATAGCTTTATGCTAGTATGAGTAGCACTCATTTTACATGGATTATATGCACATATTCAATAGGAATAACACTGCTGTATTTTAAGCTGAAAAACCTCTGACTGTGGTGTTCATTCTCACTGTTGGGATTTACTCTCTAGTTCTGGAAACTATAAGACAATCCTGATTTGTAACAGATATATTTCCAATTGTGTACAGTTACATATAATTATAGCATATCCTGAGCTACCAAAAATGTATTCTGGCTTTCTAAGTAGCACAGGAATACACGTTAAATTTTATAGCCTTAATTAATTAATTAATTAATTAATTTTTTTATTTTGAGATGGAGTTTTGCTCTTGTTGCCCAGGCTGTAGTGCAATGGCGCGATCTCGGCTCACTGCAACCTCCACCTCCCAGGTTGAAGCAATTCACCTGCCTCGGCCTTCTGAATAGCTGGGATTTCAGACATGAGCCACCACACCTGGCTAATTTTGTATTTTTAGTAGACACGGGGTTTCTCCATGTTGGTCAGGCTGTCTCAAACTCCCGACCTCAGGTGATCCACCCGCCTCTGCCTCCCAAAGTGCTGGGATTACAGGCGTAAACCACTGGGCCTGGCCAATTTAAATTTTTTTAATGGAAAACTTTCCGAAATATATTGTATTTTTCCCTACCTATCCAGAGCACGCCAAATATAATTTGACTTTCTTTAGTGATTCAGAGTTAATGTGGATATCAGTTATTTTGGTGGGCTAATGTTTAGGACCAAAAATAGATGAAGAGACACAGGACTCAATGGTATTGGCCTTGTAGTGGATATGAGACTTTCTTTCTTCAAAAAGTCTTTGATGGCAAAGTTTTGTTCATTTTTCTCGAATTAATCAAAATAATAAAAAATGGGCCAGGAGTGGTGGCATATGCCTTTAGTCCCAGCTACTCAGGAGGCTGAAGTGGGAGGGTCACCTGAGACCAGGAGTTTGTGACCAGCCTGAGCAATGTAGCAAGATCCCATCTCTAAAAATAAATAAGTAAATAAGAAATACTTTATCAAAAATGGAAGCAGTCTTCTTCCAAGTGATTTTCTCCAGAAATATTCTTTACTCTTGGGATCAGTAGCTAGCATTTTTCAAAACAGTGTCTCTTTCATGGAGAGACAGGTATGTGAAAAAGCAAATATAGCAGAGTGATAATTATATAATCTAACTGGTGGGTATATGGTGTTAACTGCAATCTTTTAACTTTTCTGTATAAAAATTTTCATGAGGCTGGGTGTGGTGGCTCACACTTGTAATCCCAGCACTTTGGGAGTCCGAGGAGGGTGGATCACCTGAGGTCGGGAGTTCGAGACCAGCCTGACCAACATGGTGAAACCCCGTCTCTACTAAAAAATACAAAAATTAGCCAGGCATGGTGGCAGGTACCTGTAATTCCAGCTACTCAGGAGGCTGAGGCAGGAGAATAGCTTGAACCCTGAAGATGGCGGCTGCAGTGAGCCGAGATTGCACCATTGCACTCCAGCCTGGGTGACAGAGCAAGACTCTCATCTCAAAAAAAAAAAAAAAAAATTCATGATAGAATGTTGGAAAAATGTAAAAGTAGAAAATTATCTCTAATTTCTATATCACTGATAAAGTGGCTACCTTTATCTACTTTTAACATAAAAGATACCAGTATTTTAGAAAAAATTCTAATTTCATACTGTTCTAAATGAGAGTAGTAAGGCTATGTTTTATCTTAATTTCAAATTTGGTTTATATGCTTTAGTGCTGTTTTAAAAAGGAAATTTCTATCTGTGCCAAACTAATTATGATTAAGTCTTTTCTAAAAGTCTACTCAATACCTGACTTTTAGGAAGACCTTATCTTGTTCCCTTTATTTTTTTTTTTTTTTTTCAAAAAAGAAAGACGGAGTCTCACTGTGTTGCCAGGCTGGAGTGCAGTGGCGCGATCTCAGCTCACTGCAACCTCCGCCTCCCAGGTTCAAGCGATTCTCCTGCCTCAGCCTCTAAAGTAGCTGGCACTACAGATGCAGGCCACCACGCACAGCTAATTTTTGTATTTTTGGTAGAAACGGGATTTCACCATGTTGGCCAGGATGGTCTCGATCTCTTGACCTCATGATCCACCTTCCTCAGCCTCCAAAAGTGATGGGATTACAGGTGTAAGCCACCATGCCCTGCTTTCTCCGTTTTTGTTTTTTTCCATGATTACCCCAGAAGTCTTAGTAAATATATAATTTATGTGAATAATTCCAATTTTATTGAGAGTCAGTTAGCAGTATCAAGACATTTATTTTTTAAGTTTCCTTTCTCTTGGAAAAAAAAAAAAACCTTGATTGTTTTGAAAAACAAAAAACACTGATTTGGTTTAGTCTTAATCCAAAATTAGTAAAGTATTAAACCATATTTTATGAATGTTCTTTTTTCCTATAGCTCTACAATTAGCGCATATATGTTTGTATACATATATATGTATATACATGCATGTGTATATATACACTTACATATTTATATGTTTTGGGTTTTTTTGCTGTTTTTTTTTAACAGTATTTGAAAGCTGTGATAACTCCGGAGTGTCTTCTGATATTAGATTATCGTAATTTAAACTTAGAGCAATGGCTGTTCCGGGAACTCCCTTCACAGTTGTCTGGAGAGGGTCAACTCGTTACATACCCTTTACCTTTTGAGTTTAGAGCTATAGAAGCACTCCTGCAATATTGGGTAAGTCTGTTTTTATTTAGCTTTTTGGGTTTATTCTGATTTTGAAATGTCATTGAGTGGGAAGACAAGTTGGGGTATTGTTTCAATGGCATGTCCCCTGACCACATCCTGACCTGGAAGAAGTCGTCTCTAAGGATCTTACGTGGAGATATCACTTAATTCTTATACTTTATGACCCAATCAAATAGAACTAAAGACTCTAGGGGTTTAAGTGCATTCTATTTTGTTCTCTAAGACTGTGTATATTATGAAAATGCTTTACGTGTGATACGTATTTTATTAAATCATTTCATCAAGTCATTTTTCGATTTGTTTGTACGGTCCTTTGAGCCAGGTAAATGATGCATCTTTTTGAGACCTCGATTGACATAGGAATCACGCCCAGTTCTTCCAGTGACTCCTCCTTTGAGAGTCCTTACATGTCTGAGACTCCTGTCAGGCTCTGAACAAGGGTGGTTCTCTGCTTTCCTGACCCCACAAATCTTTCGTTATCTTTTCTTCCCCCTGTTAGTCAGGATGGTACTGTTCAGGAACTGGCTACATGCAAGAGTTGGTGCTGGGAGCATACTAACCAGAGTGGGAGGAGGAGAAGAGGGTAGAGAGGACCTGAGGTGCATTGGGTTGGGCGCACCTGGCACACTTCTCTTTTGTCTGCCTTGCTCTGAAAGAATAGATGGCTGTACTTCCTGCTCGGGGTAATGAGCACCAGCTAGCACCAGCCACGGAGATGATAAGTAGCGGGAGCCCAGTTACCAAGCAGGGGGAAAGCAGAAGAAAGAAGATGTAAACAGTAGTAAGTGATGGGCTGCACAGGCTGGGTAAGCTTTCAGGAGCTCATGCTGTTAGGAGAAAGGCAGGGATCTCAAAGGGAGCAGGAGGGGAAGGAGAGGGGCTGGGCTGGCATGGGTCTCCTGTCTAGAGATTGGCTGTGGGGAGAATAGAGAGGGAGTTCAAGATGTCTGCTGGGATACACATTCTTCTTCCTTTAAATGGGGTCCCAGGAAGATTCCCTTATGAAACAACACTACATAGAAGCAAGACCAGCCACCACTCAAAAGGGATAAGTTTTCAAACAAGGGAAAGCTCCCCAGACCCACCTGAGGGACCAAGACATACCTTGATAGATACGCCTCACAAATACCCTATCTGTGACCTTCAGCAGCCTCCCCAACCACTACCTGAGTCCACACCTTGCTGAGCAGAGGGTTCGATACCTCTTAGATTAAAAAATGTGGTCTATTTGGCTGTCCAGCCTTCCCTCCCACCCAAGGACTTCTTAACCCAGAAGCAGTTCCTCTGGAGATGCATGAAATAAACAACATGTCAGGAGAGGCACCGTGACTCTGGACTCGTTTCCAAATTAAAAAAAATCTTAGTTTCACAGTAATTGTGCTTCTGAGATAAAGACTCTATGCTGTAATTTACATCATCAGTTTTACCGTCTGATTTAGTTAGTATATGCTATTTGCCAACTGGTATGGAAGTGTTTCAGTATTTTAATAACTATATAGCAGGATTAGTGCATACCTGCTGAATATCAAACCATACTTGTGTCAACCTAGTGTGTTTTTGACTTTACTCTCATATGTTTATGTTTTAAAGCTCAAGTTTTTATTTTCAAAGAGCTTTGCAGGAATTTTGAACCATATTATGTATACAGAGAACACAGGTATTACTGAAAGCTTGTGTTTTCATAATAGAATAGCAGATTTTATTTTACTTAATCCCTCATTACTTCATAATGAGTATCTATAGGAGAAAGACTCTTATGAGAGTTAGCTCCTTGTCAGCCAAATCTGTGCCTAATGATAACATCACACATGGTTCTTTGAACCCAGAAGATCTAGTTTTTGAATCATCTGGAATAGGCATTCTAGAATTGACTATGTTCTGAAATGTTACCAGCATTTCAAGCTACTACAGATTTCTGTATTTAATCAGAGGATTCACTGATCCTGAATATTCTAAAAAGATTGTTTTAATTCTTATGAAAGGTCATGTTGTTATCTAGATCAACACCCTTCAGGGGAAACTTAGCATTTTGCAGCCACTGATCCTTGAGACCTTAGACGCTTTGGTGGACCCCAAACATTCATCTGTAGACAGAAGCAAACTGCACATTTTACTACAGAATGGCAAAAGGTAAATATGGATGATGTATCACATTGGGAGTTGGAGACAAATATCTTAAAATCAATTATTAACATTGTGTTTCATAACTTTTTTTAAAGTATGAAAGTAACCTGGGTGGGAAGTCGAGCTAAAAGGAGCACACAATCTAATGTTTGTTGAAAAGATACTTTGCATGAAATGTTATGTAAGGCTCTTTTCCGTATGTGATCTCGTCTCATCACCTATTTAGTAGTTGATGTTGTCCTCATTTTGAAGAGAGAAGACTGAGGTTTGAGTAACTTACCTAAATTTATGTGGCTAGTAAATGGCAAATCTAAATCCAAATTCAAAGTCCATGTTGTTCTTTTTCTTTAAAATCATAATGCCTTCCAGAATTTAATAACAATATTTTATATGTATCATAAATAGACTAAACATGCTCTCAGGAGTTGTACTTCCGAAATCCCTTCAATAATTAACATTTAAAATTCTTGATTCAGTAGTTTCTTGTCCAAAAATGTTGGAGTGTTTTTATCAGTTAAGAGTAACTACTCTGTTCTATATTAGCACTGCCACGTTGATTAAGAATAAAACTAATTCCCAAACCAAAAATCTTAAATTCACAAGCAATTTATGTTTCTGAGATAAATAATGTATGATGAAATTTATATCACTGATAATTTGACCAATTAATTTAGATTTGGTTTGGGTTTTTTGTGGGTTTTTTTGAGACAGGGTTTCACTCCGTTGCCCAGGCTGGAATGCAGTGGTGCAGTCTCAGCTTACTGCAGCCTTAACCTGCTGGGCTTCAGCGATCCTCCCACCTCCACCACCCAAGTAGCTGGGACTACAGGCACACGCCACCATGCCCAGCTAATTTTCTGAATTTTTTTGTAAGACAAGATCTCACTGTGTTGTCCAGGAGGGTCTCAAACTCCTGAGCTCAAGCAGTCCTCCTGCCTTGGCCTCCTAAAGTGCTAGGAGGATTTGTGACACCACTCCTGGCCAAACTGATTCTTAATTTGCCTGGTAAATACTCACCCTTTTTTTTTTTTTAAATAAGTCATTGTTTAGCATGAATGTATAAGATAATATATTTGATAAGATACTCTAAAAACTATTATGAAATGTTTTTATAAGTTTATTCTATTGATCATTTTTGTGTATCTATTCTTATAGTCTATCAGAGTTAGAAACAGATATTAAAATTTTCAAAGAGTCAATTTTGGAGATCTTGGATGAGGAAGAGTTGCTAGAAGAGCTCTGTCTATCAAAATGGAGCGACCCGCAAGTCTTGTAAGTATATAATTATACTTTGTTATTTATTTCCTTAGAGTAAATATTTTGCCTTTTCCACTTCAAAGTGATTTTTCATTACAGAATGTAACATTTTTCTTGACTAGAGAATATAGAGATTTTCATCCCCAGTTTCCAGATAAGAGTATTTCCCCAGATAGAGTATCGTATCTAATTCAGTGTAATTATATAAGTATGCATACTACATACCCAACACTGCTGACATGCAGTGAATCTAAACACACAGTTACCTTTATATTCAAGGGACTGACCACCAGATCAGCACATACATCTACCAAAATAACCTACCTAGGAAGCAGAGTGAGAGAGAGATTTACATGGGGGAGGGGAAAAGTGGAGTAAATACATGAGTGCAGCATTAACATGAATTATATAAGTTCAGTCTAATGAAAATGTTATAAACCTTTTGTCTTTTATGAATTTAGAAATTGTTTATGCTTCTTGTGCACACTCCAACTAAATGTTTACTTTTAAATACCCAAATATTTTGTTTTTGTCTTTCTAGAGCAATATCAGAAATTAATACACCTTTGTAATGAGTTTAGTTTCCACAGTCTGTACAGATTTTCTTAAAGCACTTTGAAAAAAAAAATTGGTTATTTATATCCTGATAAGGAAATAATAAGATAAAGGGGGCTATATAATATTTGGTAGATAGCAGATAGGTATAGTAGCAGAAACTCTTGTTTGCTTTGCTTAGGCCAGTCTTTCAGTCTGTCTCTAATATGCTTTATGAAACAAGTACCTCTTCAGAGTACTTCATTCCTCCTTATCCTTCTTGGTAGGGTAGGGGAGCAAAGTTATTATTGATATCATTCAAAAACATTTTCTTTATATGAAATCACATTATGGACACACCTCAGAAGGAACACACACCTCAAAAGGAAATGGTCTTGACATTTTTAGTTGTGGATTTTGTTTTACCTGACAGTGGTATTGGATTTGCACTAATTCATCTGCATTCACATATCTGGATTTTCCCTGTTACTGGCAGCATGTATCCGCATAAAAATCTCTTGGATTGGGGCCATGTAATACAGTGACACCAACTAGTCTACATAAGGATGAAACCTCTGTCCTCAACTTAATCTGTAAAGTGTTTAGGATCAGTTGATATAGCTACTTACAGATTGGCCACAACAATAGAAAAGAAAAAGGCAGCCGGACGCTGTGGCTCATGCCTGTAATCCCAGCACTTTGGGAGGCTGAGGCGGGCAGATCACAAGGTCAGGAGTTCAAGACCAGCCTGTCCAATATGGTGAAACCCCGTCTCTATTAAAAATACAAAAATTAGCCGGGCATGATGGCATGCGCCTGTAGTCCCAGCTACTGGGGAGGCTGAGGCAGAAGAATTGCTTGAACCCGAGAGGCAGAGGTTGCAGTGAGCCGAGATCGCGCCACTGCATTCCAGCCTGGGAACAGAGCGAAACTCCATCTCAAAAAAAAAAAAAAGACAAGACAAAAGGCTAGCTTTTCCACTGGTAGCTGAATGCTATATACTAATTTAGGAAGTTTTTGTTACTAAGTATATGATACACATGTTGGGGTATGTTAATTATTTTGTCTTTTAATTGAAGTGAAAAGAGCAGTGCTGGGATTGACCATGCAGAAGAGATGGAGTTGCTGTTGGAAAACTACTACCGATTGGCTGACGATCTCTCCAATGCAGCTCGGGAGCTTAGGGTGCTGATTGATGATTCACAAAGTATTATTTTCATCAATCTGGACAGGTAAGAAAGCATTATATAAAACAGTAAGTTTTTTAAATAATTATAAGATAAAGTGTTTAAGGAAATATCATTTTGTGAGGAATTATGCCATCATTAACATCTATACTACATTAAAGTCTTTTTTTTTTTTTTTTTTTTTGATGTGTAGGTTTCATCCATGTGGTCTGTAATAGATTTGATGAATGTGTTCTGTATAGTTAGTAGGCCCTTCTAATCTGAATAGGTGTTCTCCTCTCCAGCCACCGTAACGTGATGATGAGGTTGAATCTACAGCTGACCATGGGAACCTTCTCTCTTTCGCTCTTTGGACTAATGGGAGTTGCTTTTGGAATGAATTTGGAATCTTCCCTTGAAGAGGTGAGAATGTATTATTTCTAAAACTTGGGGGGTTTTGGCCAGGCGCAGTGACTCACGCCTGTAATCCCAGCACTTTGGGAGGCCAAGGCAGGCAGATCACTTTAGGTCAGGAGTTCGAGACCAGCCTGACCAACATGGTAAAACCCCATCTCTACTAAAAATACAAAAATTAGCTGGGCATGGTGCCGCACACCTATAATCCCAGCCACTCGGGAGGCCAAGGCACAAGAATCGTTTGAATCAGGGAGACGGAGGTTGCAGTGAGCCAAGATTGCACCACTACACTGCATCCTTGGTGAAGAGCAAGACTCCATCTCAGCAACAACAAAAAAAGGAGGCAGATTTCTGCTCAATAAGTGACGTGCGTCTCTATCAGTGATAGCTGATGAGTTGTGTAACAGGCTATCTTTGAAGAAGTGAGCTCTCAGTCACTGGAGCCAATGATAACCAACTAACAGCATCGCTGTGAATGGGATTCCTTCCTTGTGAGAGATTACATTTAAATTCTGTGATTCTGTACATCAACTAAAAACAGTGTGCTGCAAAAGTATTACCATTCTGAAAATGGTGAGGAAGAATGTTTTTTCTAAGAGAGGTTCCCAAACTTTCTTGGATCACAATGCCCTTAGTGTCTTAGTAATTTTGTCACAGTATCCGTGGACAAAAAATTTCTTTTGTTATGTTACAGATTCTTTTGTGTTATTTCCCTTGAAAGTTTAAAATATTCTGAGGTGCTGTGGTGCCCAGGGCATGTCAGCTCACAGTTTGAGAACTGTGGATATAAGCAAAAACCTTAAATTGCGTGTCCTCTAGCATCATGACTATTAAGATTTGTATGCACGTAACAAAGGCTGGAAAGAAACACAAAGTAAAAGCAGTACATTTGGCATATAGATGATTTTAAAATATTTCAAACCTTTTAAATCATGCTCTTCTCCTGATTTATTCTGTGGGTATCAAGGCACTTGTTTCTTAGTTCCTTTCTATGGGAAAGAGCTGTACAAATAACATAAGGCTTTCAAACTCTGGGACAACAGTTCAGGGAATCTTCTCTCTAAGGAACCTTACATTTTGCGATTGAAATGAACTGTGTGTTCTCTTTCAGGACCACAGGATTTTTTGGCTGATTACAGGAATTATGTTCATGGGAAGTGGCCTCATCTGGAGGCGCCTGCTTTCATTTCTTGGACGACAGCTAGAAGCTCCATTGCCTCGTATGGTATGAAGGATATGGTTCACGGCAGTACTGCGGAAGGGTTATGGATGGCCGTGGGCCCTAAAGTCAGAGCACCTGGGCTTCAGTTGTCACAGGCACTATGACCCTTGCAAGTTGCTTTCTCAAACCTCCCTCAGTTTCCCTGTCTGTCTGTTAAGTCAGTATTACCTGCTTCATAGAGTTGTGGGAAGAAATAATTTAGATAATATGTGTAAAGCACTTACTAGCACACTGCCTAACACAATAAATACATTAGAAATATAATTTCTGTAGAACTCTCTGACAAACATACATTTAAACAGATGTTAGTAATTCTGGTATAAGGTTCTGTCATAACCAAATGGAAATATAGGAAACATTTATAATGTTCTCATAAGAAAAGATAGAAAACTCACCTCCATTTTCTTTGTACTTGAAGACACCACTGGAATAAATACTTAAGACACTGATACTGCTTATAGTCCTTTCTTCATTGAGTAGTTACATAATATATCATTTTACTAGTGACTTTTCTTTTAAAAAGATACTAAAATTAATATTTCTGCTTTATTTAGATGGCTCCTTTACCTAAAAAGACTCTTCTGGCAGATAGAAGCATGGAATTGAAAAACAGCCTCAGACTGGATGGACTTGGATCAGGACGGGGCATCCTAACAAACCGTTAGGAACAGCCCAGTGGATACTGAAGTTTTTTTACTGGTAGTCACAGCAAACTTCTGATACTGTTTTTATTATTTTCTTGTATAGAGTCACACACTTGAAAAAAATTAATGTTTGAAAACAAAAATATTTTGGCAGTCACAATACCAGAACTGGATTGCATTTCCAGAATTCTGAGTTAAAGAAACAAAGTATTTGCTTTGTAAAAGGCCAAAATTCTATTTCCTACAAACTTTAAATGCTGTTTTTATAGATGTGGTAAGAGGCAACACAAGCACAGATAGTTGTATAGACTTTATTTAATTTATACATATCAAGAAAAGTGCAATTTCATGCTGAATGAAGCGTAGGAACTTGACAAGCCCATAGGTAGCTATCGTTCTTAGTATAGGGAATTACGTTCATATGAATTTCCTGATTCTCAGGTGACTAAAAAGCTAGCATTCTATGTATTAACCTTACAACAAACTCTGAAAGTTTGAGCTTTAAAAACCAAACTTTGACATAACCTTATTTTCTTGTATTTGCCCCCTTTTTAAAATAAAAGGTGAATAAAAAGAAATAATTTAATATCACCATTGTATGGATGCCTAATCAAGATTTCACGTTCTCAACCCCTAACACTAGTTTTCTTTGCTCTCTGTAATTACAGCCTTTGGAAGTAAAGTTGAAAGGAAGTATTTCCATTCTGTTACTGTTTTGTAGCACTTTGTCCATTTATTGATTTTTAAAGTAGATTTTTAGATACCACCCTTGCCCTGCCCCAAAAAGAAAAATATGTATTGCCCTGCTAATCTATACGCCTACACCTCAGAAGCTGACAAATGAGCTTCCTAAAACACGAGGGTGACTAAATGTTAGAACTGTGATATCTTCTCATTTCCACAGAGATGGGCGTTTAAAACAAATGGCTAATATTTGTAAGCCTGAAAGCTGCCATCCTCTTTAACATCCTACCTACCTTTTAAAATGTTTTCTGGAGGTTAAATACAGTTATGTACTAGAACATTAGTTAAGCCTCCCAAAGTAGTGTGCGTGGAAGATTCTAGAGTGTCCAGCTCTTGCACTACAAATGTGATAACAACAGAATAAATATGCTTATCCTGATATTGAGGGTACATGATTACCCTAATGTGATGTCATATGAGGAAGTTTAAGAGTCCATTTTTCGGGTGGTTTGGTGATAGGAATAAAAATGTTACTCCCGTAGCTGATTCGGAAGAAAAGAGATGAAGTACAAGTAAGGTTTCCCCATTCCTGTGTGTGGTCATGGGAAGCCATTAGAGGGAAGCTGGAGAACAGAATGGCACAGAACAGGCTGGGCTAGACTCGAGCATGCAGTGGCCCCTGTGCACCAACCACACTGTGGGTCAGGAACATGCGTCATGGTGTGCTTGTTGGAGGAGTGTGAACATACAGCACCCTCTAGCGTTATGAATCTCTTAGGATTTTTAAGATTATATTTGATAATACTTAGATTTCACAGGGCACCGTTTTGGGACACCTCAGAGCACACTGCTGCTATTTTAGGTCTTACCACTGTAAAATACTTAATAAGTACTACTTAACTGTGACATGAAGAATTGGAATCCCAGAGGGCAACATTTGATTTGACTCAGATCAGGCAAAAGATAGAATTTTGGTCATTTTTCCTTGCAGTTTTATTGACTTAGTTTATGAGCTTGGGTAAAATAATTTTTTGATGAATCGTGTCAATAAAAGGAAAAATAATGTAACTACCTCATAAATCTGATAAACGGAAGTTGCTAGTGGTTTGTAGAATTCCTGAAGGTGGTTATATCAAGTATGATTTCAAAATGTCAACTAGTTCCACTTTTGTGATTGCAGGAGGCTTCTTATATTAAAGTTCTCGTAAATAATAAATCAGCTTATGCCAAAAATATATGAAGTTCCTTGGTTTTAAATTTTGAACTAAAATGGACTGAGCACATTAATTACTGTTTGAAAGTGGGTACCAAACACTGGGTTACATGAGTGAGCAAGCAGTCAGATCACCTGTCGAGCATGTCGAGTACAGGGTGTGGTACTCTCTTTGTCTTTGGAAGGCCCCTAAACAAATCTGGGCACAACAGGTGTCATTTGAGGATGCTCTGAGGATGCTCTTAACACTTTGTTCTTCATGAACATAGACTGATAAGCAGCACTAACCAATGTTATATTAAAAAGCTGTTTATTTTGCTGAGTTACTCCAAGAGTTGTATACAGCTTTACTGTTTGGAACTGCAATGTTAAAGTTGCACTTTGGATTTAAGACTTACTCTCATTACTTTAGTAATACCTACAGAGGTGAGCTAATGGATGGTACATGGAGTAGGGACTGCAGAGACCCCAGTTTTGTCCCCACTCCATCTTCAAATAATTTTGGTCTCTTAGGTCTGTGATACAAAGGCATAAAACAATTCCTATCTTGAAGCCTTGAGAAAAGCTGTTACATATACACAGATAGTAGAAAGACAGAAAATGCAAATATGTAAATGTCTTCTGATATCTTGAAATAAAGATAAATTTGAATTAAACTTGTATAAGTTCAGATTTCTGTTAATGAGAAATTATAACCCTACAAGGTAAGGTCTTTACATTTTAGTTATTAAGCAGAATCAGTGCTTAAAACTATAGTTAATACTTAGTGGAACGAAAATTTAATCCACATATCAGGATAATATGTGTCCTGCATATTAATAGACTGTCATGCATTAATTTTTTCCTGTATGCCAGGTTTTTTACATATCTGCCATATCAGTTGACCTTTTACAGTAGGAGTATAATTTACATTGTTTTTGACAGTAGGGTTAGCATGGTTAAATGTCCCATAAACTTGAAAGGAAGCTTCCATTTTGGTGGGTCTTAACCTCCACCTGGTGCTTGCTATTGGGTGTATTCAGGCATTGAGAAAAATGTAAATCGTGAGGTAAATAATGGTCATGTTTAAGCACAGGCCTCATTTAGTGAAGCATAAAAACACTGACACTTTATATAAATGCATCTGTCTAATGAAAAGATCCAGTACTGAGAAAAACATCCCTTTACTGAAGTGTCATGTCAGAGTCTGCTCTACCAAACTGCTCAACTCATAAGTGAATACAATTAAGTAATTTCTGGTCTCCTGAAAATAATCATCCTTTTAATTAAAAGTAACTCTTCAGATAGGTTGGGCTACCAATAATTGTACCTAAACGAAACCAAATGGCGCTTCCCTGTGCTTTTGCTGTGCCGTAGGTTACTATGCAGCCAGCACATGTACCTCTTAGGTCATCCTGCGAGTGACCCAGAGATGCTCTCTAGGGATGTGCCTGTTGATGTTCTTGTTAACTTCCCACTCTTCAGCTGGGTTCCTCTTCCTATCCCCTTTTCACCAATCTCTGGTCTGCCTTGAGAGAAGCCAAGAGGAGAAGGGCTCTTCTCATTTGTTATTTTCTCCTGCTTTTAGTATCATCTCACCAGTAGCAGAAGAAAGAGGTTCTTACCAATTTAACACAAAATAAACCAGTTACTGTTTATAGATAATGCCCGCTAATGTTTACTGACACTGAAACCCTATGATACATTCCTTTCCCTTAAATGTGCCACACTGCAGGACTGGCAAATGAAATCCATCCTACGAAAAACAGCCCAGGAACAAGTGAGGCCAAGGCCTGCTTTCTTCTCCAGCCCTTACAGTAGCCTGTGGCTCAGGCCGCATCTTTTTCCTCTAGTTCTTTTGGCACAAGTTGTAATCTAATGCGACAAAGGTCTCTCATGAGATGGCTTAAAACTAGCAGTGTCACTAGGCTCTTTAGGTGTTAGAACAACCAACTCTACAAAAGCATTGGAGGGCACAGAAGGGTGATACTGTTGGTTTTTGTATTTGTCCTTCACTATATAAACGTTGAAAAGGCATTAATCCTCATTAAGAAAGGATTATCGGCCGGGTCCTGTGGCTCATGCATGTAATCCCAGCACTTTGGGAGGTCAAGGTGGGCACATCACCTGAGGTCAGGAGTTTGAGACCAGCTTGGCCAACATGGTGAAACTCCGTCTCTAATAAAAATACAAAAATTAGCCAGGCGTAGTGTTTGCACCTGTAGTCCCAGCTGCTTGGGAGGCTGAGGCAGGAGAATCACTTGAACCTGGGAGGCGGAGGTTGCAGTGAGCTGAGATCGTTTCACTGTACTCCAGCCTGGGCAACACAGCAAGACTCCGTCTCAAAAAAAAAAAAAAAAGGACTATCATCCTTAGCAAACTAACACACGACACAGGAACAGAAATCCAAATACAGCATGTTCTCATAAGTGGGAGCTAAGTTATAAAAACTTATGAGCACAAAGAAAACAACAGACATTGGGGTCTACTTGAGGGGGGAAGGGGATAGGAGTAGGAGGAGCAGAAAAGATAAACCTTCACATGTACCCCGAACCTAAAAGTTAAAAAGGACTAAGTCACAAGTGATTTGGAATGTGAGGTTATCTCTCACCCCCATACTTTTCTCTGTACTATTTTTCCTCATTCAGTTTCTTTCTTTCTTTTTTTTTCTGTATACTATGCTTTCGATTATACGTGGATTGGCATGGGCCACCAATCTGTTATTTTTAAGTTCAATTTGGTTTGTAACTTTTAAGTTCCGGGGTACATGCGCAGGAAGTGCAGGTTTGTTAGATACATAAAGGTGTGTCATGGGGGTTTGTTACACAGATTATTTCATCGCCCTAAGTATCCATTAGTTATTTTTCCTTATCGCTCCCTCCTCCCACCTTACGTCCTCTCATAGGCCCCAGTGTGTGCTGTTTCCCTCTATGTGTCCATGTGTTCTCATTTAGCTCCCACTTACAAGTGAGAACATGCAGTATTTGGTTTTCTGTTCCTGCATTAGTTTATGAAGGTTAATGGCCTTCAGCTCCATCCATGTCCCTGCAAAGGGCATGATCTTGCTCTTTTTTTATGGCTGCACAATTCTTTTTTAAGAAAAGGATGTTTTTAGGAGGAATTGTGTACAGAGATTGTTCTAACAGATAACCACAGAGGGACCTTTCCAGCCACTGGAAAGACATTCAAGAGGAAGAGGAAATAGGTGGTACAGCAGGTCTGACTATAGGCAAAAAGTTAGGAAAGAAGAAAGGTTTAGATGCAAAGGAAGTGAGGAAATAAACTGTGGAAGGAGACATGAATGAGCAGAGTGTGTCTGATACTTCACATACTCCTGGTGCAGTCATATATCTACTATATCAGATTTCCAGAAAGGGTGGCTGTTGGTGTGTGTCTCTACTCCCAGGAGCCCCACATCTATCAGGATCTGCCACAGCTCCACTGGATGTGCCACTTTGTCCATCAAAATGCTCACCATGGATGTGATTCAGCATGAGAGAGGTGGGCAGAGTGGGGAAACGCAGTGAAATCTTCAATCTGAGCCAAAGCTATAGACGTGAAGTGCCCCGGAGAGTCGGGCTCCCAAAGAGCTCCTTCCAGCAGCAATGACGACTTGATTCTGTAGGGGACAAATGACAGACAGAATTAATGACTCATTCATAACATCTGTTGAGTTCCTACTGTAGTCCAGGCATCGTGCTATGCTCTAGAAATATAAAGATGAATAAGACACTGGCCAGATCCCCTGCCCCTGGCTTAAACTCAAATGCCACTTTCCCTTCGTTTGCAGACCACTTTCTCACATCTGTAGGTTCTGAAGCCCACAGCTAAGGACGCTCACCCCAATCCCTATTTTGGCACATAAATCATAAAGGAGAAGTATGGCAGTGCATGCTTAGTTCTGGTACAATGTGGAAAACATATCTTGAATAATAAGGAGTTCCCCCAGAAACTGGCTTTGTCAATGTATTTAGCGCACCACCCACCTACCCTGCTGCTTAAAGCATTTTAGGACCCATCTTTCAGAATTGCCTTCAAAACCTGCTACAAGTTTTTAAAACGTTTTCTTCTTTTTTGAGACAGAGTTGTGCCCTGTCACCCAGGCTGGAGTGCAGTGACGCGATCTCGGCTCACTGCAACCTCTGCTTCCTAGGTTCAAGAGATTCTCATGTCTCAGCCTCCGGAGTAGCGGGGATTACAGGCACGTGCCACCACGTCTGGATAATTTTTGTATTTTTAGTAGAGACGAGGTCTTGCCATGTTGGCCAGGCTGGTCTCGAACTCCCGACCTCAAGTGATCCACCCGCCTTGGCTTCCCAAAGTGCTGAAGTTACAGGTGTGAGCCACCATGCCTGGTCTTTAAACATTTTTGGTGGTGGCAAATCTTCATACTCCGAGGTTGGATTTGATTTGTGGAAACTGACAAAAGTTATTCTGAACCAAAACTGGCACATGAGGTACGGGTGATCAAACTGGCTGACAGTATTTTGGTCAGAGCAGGGTATGACAGTTTCTTATTTAATTTTGAAAACTACTGATGAAATCCAGAAATAATAATCATAGCTAAAATTTGTTGAGGTGTTACCATGGGTCAAACACTATGCTTAGCCCTGTGCTTATCTTATCCCTTAATACCCCAGTGTCAATTAACAGGGAAAATCTACACTTAAGAAAACGGAATCAAATGGTAATTTATTCTCCCTCTCTTTCCCAATTTATGGAATTATACATTTACTAAATTTGCCTGGCCTTCAGCTTCTATTTTGTCAGAGTCTAGTCATTTTTCCAGATGCAGCTCCGGGCCCATAATCTCTGCAGGCCCTTCCCTGACTCCACCAGCAGAGACTTCCGCTGCAGTTGCTGTCTGACCTCCTTTGGCTCGTGGTCATCATATACCAACCTGGATGGTCTTGTGGGCCTGTTGTATTTTCCCACCTAGACTACAAGCACCTGGGGCTGCGACCATGTCTCAGATTTATTTGTCTATCTCACAGGTGCTTGATACAACACTACTCACTACACACTCAGTTTACCACTTTGCTGAGGTTCCTGAGCTGATGGAACGCAGCCCTGTGAGAAGTTTCAGAACTGAATCCTAATTCTAGTTTGTTACGACTAATTTCATTACTGAATGCTCTTATGCCACAGAAAGGAAGGAGTCTTCAGAACATAACTTGTACCCAAATCTCAGGAAAAGGCCACTCTGCTCATCCTGATTGTCAATGCCCATTTTTGAAACACAACATCTAATTTATCTTTACGCCCAGAGTGCTCAAAAATGCCCCCAAGCTCAGGTATGTGCTGGAAAAGTGAAGTAATTGTAACACTAACCCAGGTGAACAATAATTAGGAAGGTGCATTTGCATTGTTTTACAAAAAGGAATAAAATATAAATTACTTTTAGATCATCTGTATATACTACTACTCTCAATTGATGTAAGTTATAGTTGATATATGTAGAGTTTTATGTTATAATACATAGATTCTTGATAAAGTCTAATTTTTGAAATGAATAAAACTTTAAATATAAGCCAAGCTTGTGGTATAAAGGAGTCCTGTGATCAGACCTTCCGAGAATCTTCCCAAAAAGTTAATAACCATCTTTTTGTTGTGTGGTTAATCCTACATTTTTAGACCTGCCTGTAAATGGGTCACTTAACTTATTGGCCACTAGAGG